AGCAGGCCATCTCGCCCGGTGTGGGGCATCTTCCGTGCCTAGCCCGGCCACGCAGCGTGTGTGCCGTGGGACACACGGTCTTGCCCCTCCCGAACGGCACGTTTCAGCGCCGCTCGCCCGTTGGCTCGGGCCTGCAGCTCTGGGCGGCGCCCTTCAGCTCCGCCGGCGAGAGGCGCCTTCGGAGAGCTGACCCCGAGCCTCCAGCCGCCCAGATACTTGGCGAGAGGGCTCGGGAGTGCGGTTCTAAACCGTGGGGTGGTGGAGGGCTTGATCCCGGGAAGCAGCATCGTGAGTTGAACAGAGACTCGCCCCAAGAAGAGCCGAATTTGGGGTGCTGTTTGAGAGTCTTGTGGTTCCACCTGGTTTCTTGGCAGATAGGTTGCTGATCTTCAACAGACGTGTTAGGACTTCTTCTCCCACCACGCACACACACATGTTGGTATTAACTATGGATGTGGCTTGCCTTACCTGCGGGTTGGGGCTTTTAATCTTAGAAAAAGGAAAAAAGGTTCTTTTTTTGTTGTGTCCCTTTTTTTGGTCTGTTTACCTTGATAGCTCATAAAATATGAGTGGCAGTGCTAACTGCCTTTCCCAACTCATAAGTGCAAGGGCTGTTAATAACACTGTGATGTGCCCGTTACCCTTGGAACTGGGAATTTCATGTCAAGTCCCATGTGAAATTAGTCTCCACTTAGTGGCTGATGGATTCTGTTTCACGTCGCGTACTACAACACCTGATTCAGTAGAGTACATTCCCACCTGTGATTGATAGTTCGTTATTGCTGGTAATCAACCGGTAAAAGTTGAGTTGCCATTAGGTTGGGTTTTTTAATGTTAATATCCATTAAATTTTTATGACTGCGTGTGACGGGGCCTTTGTGGCTTCTTGCTTGTGGTGTTTTATTTAACCATTTTTCCCCTGACATATTTATATAGGACTGTATTTCAGCCACTGGCTGAAAGGAGTTCAGCTGACTTCAGTCCTTCATGCAGCGTGTACGATGCTACAGTAAGATGGTAGAATATTTAGCCCAATTAACAGACGTTGCTAATGAAACATTGAAACTCATGCACAGAGGGAATGGAACACATGTCACCTCACTCTCAAAAGGGAGTAGGTATTGAGCTTAGTTAGCCAGCAGTGTATGACGGGAAGGCTCCCATAACCTGGATTGCACCATCAGTATTTTTTCTTGTTTTTATGGAATACTCTCTTTTAAAGTGAAACTTCTACTCCTTGTTTTTGCCACTTTATTAACCCCCTGGGAATTTCAAAAGCCAGTTTTCAGATTACCTTCCTTGGAAGGCTGTGGAGAACCAGCTTGTGAATGTGTTGCTGTGACATTTTCAGGTTTACGGTCCGGGCAATAGTAACCAGCTTTGAAGAGATGAGTAGGTTTTGAAAAGGTCATATATGGATCTTGTATTTCGCGGTTTCCTTCTGCAGATCTTCTTGTTTACAAATGTTTTAATTAATCCTTTAGCAGCTGCCTCCGCAGGTACTGATAAGATGTATTATCACAATTCAGCAGGCGAGTGAGGCGGTACCCAAAGGTGACGAATGGTCAGTGGTAGCGTTGTGAAGCCTGTCTGTGCTGAGTACTGGGTCACGAGTACACACTGTTTGATGTTGAGGGATGGCTCATGCTTTGAGATCTTGCACCATTTGATCCAGGTAGCATTGCTTGGGGAAACTAATCCAAATAACCACTCAGTTACCAATTTACATACTCTGTGTCTACCACACTGGGTATGTTTTTAATTAATCTGTGTGTGCTTACATTTTAGATAAATGTGATCACATATTTTTCATCTAGTATTATTTCTGTAGTAATCTTTAGGAACATAGTCTTTGAAATGTAATGTGAAATGATTACTTAATTGGGTGCTTGTAGCAGAATTTCTCTTGCTGTGATTTCTGACCAGCTAACCAATTTCCTTGAGCAATATGGTTTTCCACATGATAGATTCACTTATTTTCCTCAAGAAGATACTGTAATTTTAATTGGAAAGCTTTGACATATTTTGGATTGACACAGAAAATAAAAGTCAATTTTTCTTTCATTAAACATCATGTACAATGGATGCAAATAGAAATGGAAAATGAGGCTAGCAATATATTGCCTTTTACTACTGGGTTGAGTTTGCCTCAGCATTTTGTAAAGACTGAAAAGGTGTGTGGGATGTATATAAGAATGTATTACACATCTATATAGAATCATAGAATGGTTTGGGTTGGAAGGGACCTTAAAGATCATCCAGTTCCAACCCCCCAGCCAACACCTTCCACTAGACCAGGTTGCTCAAAGCCTCATCCAGCCTGGCCTTGGACACTTCCAGGGATGGGGCATCCACAACTTCTCTGGGCAGCCTTTTAGTTAATATATTAACTATATGTTTAAATAATCTCAGTAATGCAGGTTTTTTTGTGGAAGTGTCTTGTGGTGTTTTCTCGGGCTTTATCCCAAACAAGCCCATTTTAGCTGGGACCTGAACTATCCAAGTCAAGTAAGTGTTCCCCACTGGCATGTTACCTGTCAGCTTGCAGGCTTATCTAAACACAAAAATGATGCTGCTCTAAATGAGAGGGGTAAAATTAGTTGATATAAAATTCTTCTGCAGTATTGCACATACAGGTACGCTTTGATAGCCACAAAGCCATTTTTGTACAGGAACGTGTATAAACTGTGCTGGTAGACTTGCCTCTCGCTGGGAGTTACGTTGGTGTAAATGTGCACCTCTCACAGATACGGTTATTCAGACGTGTTCTGTAGACCCTAAGGGAGGTCCCAGCTCCTAGGGATGTGAGAATATAGGAATTATTACCATAAAATTGTGAAGAGTTCTGTTTTTTCCAGCATGTTTGGTTAGCGTTGTTGATACTTGAATTGTCACTCAATTCGAGCACCTAATTGGAGACAAATGGGAAATAAAAGCCATGTTTCCTGTGTGTTAGGTTAGTAGTTTTGCACTCTCAGCTGTTTTTCATAGGCCATGATGGATGGTTTCTTCTACTCCCAGGTGTGAGAGAGGCTACTGTTCCCAAAGGTTGTCACCAAGGAAGCGATTCACAGTGAGGTCCTTCTATTAGGCAAAAATAGCGGTCTTCCCCTAAACTGGATTATTGGTGTCAGCTAAGTTGGCAGTGTTCCCGCACTGGGTAACAGGTGCTTTAGTGGGTCATCGATGGGAAGTTAGGAGCTGGTAATGTCATCCTTTAGCACAGCTGGATACACAAGACTTCTTTTTGTATCCTTCTTACTTATTTCCGCTTCCAAAGGCAGGTTCCATCCTTCAGAGCTACAAACACAAGCCAATTTAAGTGAAAGCTGATAAAAGAGGAGGATGGTTGAAAACGTGACCAGCCTGGTATGACCTAGCTCTGAGCTCCAGTGCTGTTCATACGGGTGGTGTTGGTTCTGATGTGCAGCAATAGCCTCAACCTGTTATGTTCTCTCTGACCTTTGCTGAAGCATTAGAAAAATCTGGCAAAGTTAGGGAGTTCTAACAACTCAGATCTGTCAGAACTAACCAGGAAGGTTCTGTTTGTTTGTATAAAGTACCGAGGTGGCTGACTGTTGACTTGCAGTAGGTGGTTGTCATCAGCAGGTGTTCACTTTTCCTTTGCTTGCCCAAACTTAGACCAAAGTCATAGAAAAATCACAAAAAAACACATTTACTTCTTATATCATCTGTTAAATATTGTGTAATGGACAATTGTTGTCATGTAATTATTGAATGTTCAACACATAGTTATGACGGAAAAACTTAAGCTGCGTGTTAATGTGTGTGTCTCTCTTCAGTTCATGCAAAAGGGTTTGGATTCACAAACTAAAAAACAACTAGAAGAGGAAGAAAAGAGGATGATTAATGAAGAACACTGGTATCTTGATTTACCAGATCTAAAGGAGAAACAGTAAGCTTGTACCCTTTTGTACTTCTTATCATTGTTGGATTGTGGTGGAGGGGGCACAGGATATACGTATTTCTTCCTATAAAAAAGTGTCATTAATAACCAATTAACAGAAGCAAAAATGGCGACAGCCTGGCCTTATAGCTTCTTTTATTATTTATTTTCGGAGACATGCTCAAGGTTGCCTAGTGCGGTTTGACCTACTTCCATTTCTGGTGTGTGTGGTTTTCTTTCACTCACACATTATTCTAGATGCATGTAATTAGTTTCTTTCAGGCAGGGGCCAATTCATTGGCTGCCGCTTTTTCCCTTCATTTGGAGAAAGAAGTTGGAAACCTTGTGTTCGTAAATTCAGCTCCAGTCATGCAGTTAGGTTCATGCAGGACAGTTCTGTCGTCTTGAGGCCAGCTCACTTGAAATCCTGGTTTTGAAACAGGAGAGAGAATGGCAAAATTGAAGGAAGGCTTTAGCTAATAAAGAAGAAAATGTCCATTCCTGCATTTAGAAAGGTGCTGTAAATAGCAAGAGAGCTGCTTTTAAAATGGCTTGATTTTTGTCCTTTCAAAAGAGGACAAAAATTCCATTGAAAGAGAACACAGTGGTGTGTTGGTTTTGGTTTTTGTTTTTGTGTTTTTTCGGGTGTTTTGGTGGGGTTTTTTTTACGCTGGGGTGCAGGGAATTAATGGTGATTTAATAAGGTCATTGGTAAACTTTGCCATGACTGTTGGTAGATAGGACAAAAAGGTATTTGAGCTTCAGCAAGGAATGTTCAAGCTGGACATTGGGACAATTTCTCTAACAATGAGGCTATTGAAGCATTGAAATAGATTGCCTAAGGAGACACTGGATTCTTCTTTGTTGGAAGTCTTTGAGGGCAGGTTAGATGGAACTCTGCTGTTCATGGTGCATGTTTAACTGATCCTACGTGGAGGTAGAAGAATGAGCTTGATCTTTTCCGCCTAACTTCCGATGGTCATAGGAGTTTGTTTTACGTGGGAGATGGAGAGGATGAGGGTGTGCGTGGAAAAGAAGGATGAACAATTCACGGAAGTACTTTTATCTAACACGTGTATTACAAACGCCTGAGGGTCATGTTTCTTTTCTCGCTCCATGCTCATTAAAAAAGGAGAAGAGGAGGGAGAAAGGGGAAATCTTTCTCTGCTGAGCAGAGAATTACAGTGTTTTATATCCTGACAGACTCAACTAATGCCAGGTCTAACATCACAATGAAAAATTAATTAGATGCTTTTGCTGGTATAGTAATGCCACCTGGAGAGTGATATTTATGTGGTATTTTTATTCGGGCAAAAGCATTAATGTAGGTGGAATCATACCAGCAAAGAGTGCTTTTTGTCAGGAGAGTTAATTTTGCTTGTGGAACTGGCATAGCTTTACTGGCAGAAAGTATTCCTTTGCACTCCAAACTCCTTGTATTGAAAGATTTATCAGAGCAATTAAGCTTCAGAAAGTAGTTGATGGTTTAAAATTCACTGTGGTTTTGTTTATTTGGGGGGTGGGGGGAAGACAACAAATGCTTTTTGCATTTGTTTAACTGGGTTATTTTAAAGCATACCGTTTGATAAAATGCTGGGTTTGGCGTTTCATGCAGGAGCTTTATAGTAGAAGAGAGGAGCTTTATGCCATGTGAGGATCTACTTTATGGCAGGATGTCCTTCAAAGGATTCAATCCAGAAATTGAGGTACTGTTAAAATGTTCTGTTTTGAGGTGGTGTTGCATTAGGATTGAAGCCCTTGGGAGCGGGGATTTGAGTGTTCATACTGCATGCTGTTTGGCCTTTGCAGCCCCTTCCATAAATCCTCCCAGGCAGAGGAAGTCCGTGATTCAAACCAAAATGCTGATCAATGCAGCATCTGGTAAATAGAAGCATTTTATCTCCTTGTGCTGATGGTCAGTAATTGCATGACTCCTGCAGATTTTCCTTCCCTGAAGGGAGGAAACTGTCCCACATGCTGCTCAGCAAAACAATAGCTCACTTTTCCTCCTGTCATTTAATTGAGAGTCCAGTCCTACAGACATTCAACTCTTAATTTTTCAACACTCTACTTTTGTAAGTAAGGGCTCAAAGGTTCCAAAGTAAAAATTGTGGGCTAGAGCATCTTTTAATTTCTTTCTGGCATGGTTCATGCTGATAAAACTACACTGAGATAGCAATAAAAATGTTACCACTGCACTGAAGCAAGAGAATGAAGGTGTAAGACGAAGAGGTATGCAAAGTCTATGCAAGGTAATTAGCTGGGGGATTCTTTTAGTTATTTTGAAATAGCTCTCACTGTGACTTGGTATATTATTCCTTCATGGTTTATACTGGTAGTTTATTGTAAATCCCTGCAGATATATTTTCCTTCTTAACAAAACCATTTCAAGGACTATGTGCTAACATCACAATGAAAAATTAATTACACTCTAATTCTCTGGTCTCCTGAAGATGTCTGGTGTGCCCTTGAGGATGTTTGAATAATACGATTCACTGAAAGCCCTGTCTCTGTGTTGCCCCTTTTCCCAAAGGCAAAGGCCAGGCTCGGTTTAGCAACAGGCAGGCATGTTGCCTTTTTGTCATGGTTTAACCTGAGCTGGCAACTTAAGTAACATGCAAGACTCCACCACATGGAGTGGCTACTTGGGAAGACAAATGCCATCACTCCAAATGTCCCCTTCCTTCCTTACTACTTCTTCCCTAGCTTTCCATGCTGAGCATGACACCACATGGTCTGAAACATCCCTTGGGGTCAGTAGGGATCAGCTGTCCTAGCTGTGTTCCCTCCCAACTCCTTGTGCCCCCCCACCCCAGCCCACTTGCTGGTGGGGTGAGGAGCAGGAAAATCCTTGCCTCCATGCAAGCCCTGCGCAGCAGTAAGGAAAACACCCCTGGTTATCAACAATGGTTCCAGCACAAACCTAAAATAGCCCCACACTAGCTCCTGTGACAAAAATTAACTCTGTCCCAGCCCAAACCAGCACACTTTTCCTCACAGGTTTTCATAACAGTATGCTCTAGCCTGACCAGGAGCAGCAACTAATGATTAAATTTGATTCTTACCTTTTATGTATTTCTCCTACCAGTGAATTTCAGTACAGTAGTCATTGTGTCAGGGTTACATGTTTAAGCTATTTCTTACTTTATTTTCAGAAGTTAATGATCCAAATGAACTCAAGGTGCAAGGAAGAAGAAATTGAAGTGGATGATAAAATGGAAGCTGATGTGTCAGATGAAGAAATGGCCAGAAGGTAAGTTATGTTTTATGACATAATCGATATCAGCTAGGGATGTGATGTTACTGCATTGTGTGTGGGGAAAATAAACCTAAAAAGCAAGCAAACACAATAAGTAAAAAAAAAAAAAAAACCAATAGATATGGTACTTTACAGAACTGATTGTCCGGGAATTTGGGTGTGTATTCAGTGGAATCTCCATCACTTCAGAGGGTAAATTATCTTAGAGGGTAAAATATCTTAGAGGGGTGTTCTGCCTTTTGATATCCAGGTGTTCTATGCTAATTCCATCCTTGTTCCAGACTGCTAACAAACCCAAATGATCAGAATGAATAATGTTGTAATAATGGTCATGTAGTACTTAGGCTTTATAAGCTTCTGATGAGCAGTTTTTTTACACCACTTAAATTGTTGATTAGATTTATGATTTGCTCCATCGACATTTTCTCTGGTTTTAGTAAAAGCTGTACATTTTTTATCGTTACAGATATGAAACATTAGTAGGAACAATAGGGAAGAAATTCTTGAGAAAAAGAGACCAGCGTGTACTCCAGGACAAAGAAGATGAAGATGGGGATAGTAACACAAGACCTAGCAAAAAAGCTAAGAAAAAGTTCTTAAAACCTCAGGATTGACATCAGCTGCGCAATTGGAACATACAGAAATGTGATCTACCAAATAGTACTACGAACTGGAGATTTGAAGTTTTTGCTATTTAATGAAAAGGATAGTTTTCTCAATGTGAGTCTGTTCTTGAAACTTCTACCATCCCCATGACAAACATTTTTCAAAGTGGATGTGTATAAAATGGATGTCATACATCCTTTCCTCTCTCAGCAGCTTTTAATGTGTGGGGCCCTAATCCATCAGCCTTTTTAAATCTTGTGCACAATTAGATCAAGTGTCACATGCAATCAAGAGCAACATTAGTTATAATTTATTATAACATCTGAAAGAAGTATTTGGAGTAAAAATGAGCTTTGTCCAATCTAGACCCTGAGCCAGGGTCAACTCTGATATAGTGGCCAGGTGACCACCAAGCTGCTCTGTCACTGCCCTCCTCAGCTGGGCAGGGGAGAGAAAATGCAATGAAAGGCTCCTGAGTTGAGGTCAAGAGCAAAGCAGACCCAGCTTGGGGAAAAAGAAAACTTACCAATCCAATCAGAGTAAAAGAGAACTAAAACCAAATCTTAAAACAACTTCCACCCCCCCCTCTTCTTTCCAGACTCAGATTTACTCCTGCTTTTTTCTACCTCCTCCCCAGGAGCAGCACAGAGGGATGGGCAGTGGGGGTTGTGATCAGTTCATCACACCTCATCTCTGCTACTGAGAGGGAGGGCTTCTCACACTCTACCCCTGCTCCAGTGTGGATCTCCCCCACGGGGTGCTGTCCTTCAGGAGCAGCCTGCTCCAGTCTGGGCCCCCAGTGTCACCAGTCCTGCCAGCAAACCTGCTCTGGTGTGGGCTTCTCTCTCCATGGGTCCACAGTTTCTGCCAGGAGCCTGCTCCAGAGGGGGCTTCCCTTCGGGCATCCACCTGCTCCTTGGGCTGAGATGGATCTCTGCTCCACCATGACCCTCCATGGCGGCAGGGGGACCG